ATATATATATATATATATATATATAGTTTCTACACTGTAATTAATTATAATTATAAAATTATATTATTTATTATAAAACGTAAAACCTTAAATAGTTATAATATTATTGTGTGATAACAGTGAAAGAATACAAATTGTTAAAATATTTTAGTTAGTAATTCCTTCATATTGTTTATTATTTTTTTATGTATTATTTGAATCAAAATATAATTAGTAACTTGGTATATAATTTATGTAAAATATGTTAGATTATGCCCTCATACATGTTAATAATAAGCAATTAAACCTACAATTAATTAAACAATCTTTAAATATATATATATATATATATATATATATATATATTTTAAATTTTGTGAGGTTAAAATTCTCATTATATATGTTTTGAGTATATTAAAAAATCTCATTCATTAATTACATTTGTATATAGAATCAAAATAATTTTTTATTGTATTAATGACAACTAAACATGACCATAATCATTAATATTGATAAAACCAAATGACATGAATTTACAATGAAATGTGTAATATGAAAGTTATGTGAATGTGACATATACACGTTTATTTTTAACTAGTTTTTAGTCTATTTCAATGAGATTAATAATAACCTTAATATATAAAGTGTAGTTTCTGAATAATAAACCATATATTTATAAAATCAAATATGTATCAAAGATAATGTATACATATGTAAAAACAAAAATAGAACACAAAACATATAAAAGTGATGAACTCCCACTAAACCAAAGATTTCTCAAACAACAAAACACCTATATGAGCAACATGTCATTAAAGGCCTTGGTGGAAGTCTCTTAGTAAGAGGCTCTGCTATCATTGAATTTGTTCATATTGTTGTTAGAATACAATACAATTGGTTTATTATCACAGTATAACTTAAGTGATCTTTAAATTCCTTCCACAATGTACAACCTCGTGGCAAAGTTCCTTAACCATATTCTTTGGTTTAATTTATCATAATTAAGGCTAGCAACAGGCTGGATTGAGCCTGGATAGTGCATATCGGTTACCCGACCTACCAAAAAAAAATACTTGTGGATATTTCAAAACTCACATATATCCGTGGATACCAGAAATATTTTAAAAAAAGAAAATATTTTATAAATTTTAAAAATAAAATCTAAATAAAATTACAAAAAAATTATATAAAAATATAATATAAATTTAACCTAGTAAGTTATAAATTAATTTTGATTTTAATTAAATTTAACTTAATAAAATATAATTGTAATCTTAATTTTAATTTTTTATGGGTAATGGATACCCACACAACGAGTAATATGATACCCGCACCAGATCCGTTTATAAACGAATATTAAAATACTCGTTATCCACAGGTAATAAAAACTTGTGATTACCAACTATCTATCGCGGATTTTATTTGCAACGAACACGAGTATTTTTACCATCTTTACTCATATCACACTACTAATTTTATAGTCATAGTGGATGTTGCTTGACATTGCACCAAGAAATTGCACCACCAACTAGCATGAAAAGATAACCTAAAGTAGATCTCAAACTCTCAAATCGGAGTTAGAATACCCGGTGATCTCTAATCCTCTAACCTCTTGTATGTGATTATATAACCTTTTGTTCTCTATGTACCTCATAGCTCTTTTTGTTGTTTTCCAATGATTCATTCTTGAGTTGCTTAAATATTTGCCTAATACTCCAACTATACATGTATGTTATATTGGATGTGTATATGCATATGTGTAGGAAATTTTCTGCATTTTTTGTATTTCCTAAATTTTTAAATTTTCTTTTGGACATTAATTGAGACTAATTTTGTCTCAACAACTAGAATATTATTTGATTACAATCTTGGAAACCAAATTTTTTAAGCATCTTTTCAACATAACTTTTTTATGATAATCCTAACATCTCTAGATAAATTTCAATGTATTTGAATTCTTAATACAAAGTAGGCGTCACCAGAAATATTTCCGGAAGACTATTGAAATGTGACGCTTAATTATCACTGGGATTTCAGTTGTTATGATTGAACTTTACTTCAAGAAAGGAGTTCAATTTCCTAGTTTCTCTTATTTCAATATGAGAACGGATTTTAGTTTTAATTTGTTCATCAAACTTTTCTAAACTTATTACTTCTGTAAAGAGGATCTCATTCGGTGTGAAAAAAAACATCAAAATACTCAATTAAAGTAAAAAAAAAAGACATATTAATTTTAGTTAGATGCCCTTTTCATTCAAATAACATAACATGAGGAAACTACACGCCCTACTGTCAAAAAAACAAAAAGCACATAAAGAACACACACTTCACCAACACTTGATGAAGATTATTGAAGACAAGGAAAACTATAGAATCCTAGGTAATCAATCCTAACCATGTCCCACAGCAAAAGTTAAACAAACAGATCCTAAGAATTTAAAGAGGGCATCATATCAGAAGGTCTTCCACGTCAGAATCCGTAAAAAAAGTTGCCACAAAATGTTCCCGTCAATCACACAAAAGGCATGCGCTTCTACAACGACAATGGCGGATGTATAGTTTCAGAGTTATCAACACTGGAAAAGGAGTTGTTTCCACCTGTGAGAAACTGAGTGGGTGAGTTGTAAGCAAAAGTGGTCTGAAGGAGGAGCTTCTCACGTTTTTCATTCACACATTCCTTCAGATCCTCCAACATCTTCTTGTACTTCTCCAGCTGAGCATCGTTCATGCTATCCATCGGCATGGCCCACCACGAGTGTTCCTCCACATCCTTCATCAGACGTTTCAGAGCCTCTTCGTGCTTCTTCTCCGCCGCCATCTGGTCGGACAAGTTGTTGAGTTGCGCATGGAGTTCTCCCTCGTCCACGGTGCTGTGAGCCTCGTTCAGGTCCAGCGTGAGGAGCGGAGGTGGACCTTGCGCCGTGTAGCGTTGGATAACAGGATCAACATTAGGGCTTCCAAAGGAGAAAACCTGGTTACTGGGTGAAAACATGATGACAGCAATGTCCACACCACAGAGGGTAGCAAGTTCGCTGGCTTTCTTGAAAATCCCAGTTCGACGCTTGGAGAAGGTGACCCGAAGGTTATGCTCGTTGCTCATCTTTTTTATCTCAATCTTCTGACGACCCTTGGTCTTCTTCATGGTCTTCTTTGCCATGTTCTTGGAATCCATGTTTTATTCTAAGGTATGTTATCTGATATATATCTGATACGAGGTGTGTGACAGACTAAGGTTAATTGGGTTGAATTTATAGGAATATTCAGAGTCTGGTTTGGCCAACCAAAAGACCTTTTGTAAACTTGGTAGCCTTTGTTTTCAATGCATTAAGTGGTTTCTAGATTAAGAATGGGAACCTCATTCCACCTTCCATATGAGGCTTCTCAGATAAACATATTTATACCTGCAGGTGTTTTTTTTTTCATCATGCTTTTCTCAATCTAATAATTTCTTTTTAAACAGTATGTTTTTTAATAATTAATTATCTACACCAAAGGTAAGTATTTACTATATGCCAAAACTGTTTTTCCTACATTTGACTTTGTACTTCCTGTACTGTTCTTTCTGCTTCCAAATCTTATAAACTATCTCAGGAAAAGGAGAGTAACGTTACAACTTTCTATCATACGTACCCTGTAAATAATATATATATTTATTTATTCATTACACAATTCACAAATTTATACCTGTATTCAAATTTACTATTTTCTAAAGTGAAAATGGTGATTATATAACTCAGAAATTACATTGTTGTATTGTTGTATTGTTGTATTGTGAAGAGTGTCCCTCAATAACACTCCCAATTAATACCTTCAGAACATATAGTCTTCAAGCTACTTAAATCTTTAGTCATAAGCCGCACCTAATGTTTCTACTTGAGACTAACACCTATCCTAGGTCAAGGTAGTTCATACATATATGTAAGCGTAATATATGAACCTTCTTCAATTTTTCATCACATCTTATTTTAATTTATACTATGAGCATGTTTAACACTCCACCACACATATCATTAGCCATAGGTTCATATCACCTCAATTTCCACAAAGATATCATCGTACACACATATATCATAAAGATATCATCTATGTGTCAAAATGGATTGTAACCCCAACTAACCCGTCAATCCATCAAAACAGGATACATTAAGTTGAAATTTTGGATTAGAATTTTCAACCTGCCGTTCGTTTTGCTCTAGCTTGTTTAACCCATTAAATTGGCGGACTAAGGTGGATCACTCTTTAGTCCATTTTGTTTTTAATTTTTTAAATTAAAAATTTTAAAAAATTATTAAAAAATTAAAGTTTCTATATTATATTCTTACAAATATGTAAATATATAAAACTATTATAATTTAAATTTAAATCATTAACACATACCAATTAAATTCCAATTATTAGTTATAATAAAATAATTTAAATGTAAATATAATAATTATTTTAATTTATCCAATTAAAAATTTAGAAAATATTCATATGATTAAATATATTTTAAATATTTACTAATAATTATTTATACAAAGAAATTTTAAAAGTAAAATTAAAAAAAATTAAAAATTCTTATGTATTTGTACATTTTTATTTTGATATTATCCATAAAAAACCCCATCAAAGGCTATCACATACACCATTAAGCAATAATTTAGTGAGTCATGACTTACATGGGAGCAATTTTAAAGAGTGATCGAGATATACTCTATATTTTATATAAAGAAAGGTGACATGGAGGTTTGGGGATGAAGACAAAATAAAAAGAAAATTCCACTTCAAGACTTTTCACAAACTTATAGAGAGATATGCAAATAAGTTAGCCTTCAAAGAAAACCAATTATTAATCAAAAATAAAATGTTATGTTTAGAGAAAAAAATTCTTTAAAGTAAAACAACATATTCCATAAATATTTTTTTAAAATTTGTTGAGAGCTCTAAATCTATAAAATCTCTCTTCACTTGGACATGCATCAAAAGTTTAACCTAAAGTATGACAAACATGTTAAGAAACATTTCCAAGATTCTTGTCATAGTAGTTATAAGTTTGGACAAGATACTCAAACATATGAGATGCAAATACAAACCCGCGACCGGTAATGGGTTTTAATGTCAGGAGATCTGAGATATATATAGAGGAAGAGTATGATATCTACATATAGATCAATAGAAATATATCTCTCTATATCTTATTCTCCTCGTGACTTTTACGGGCTTACAAAACTTACCATGTTGATGATTTTGAATATTTTTTTATATAAATGACGTATTATTTTTCGAATATCATAAAAATAATAAGTATTTGTTTTTAAACTACTTTATATTAATATGTATGAATTAGTTATTTTAATTCCTATTAAAAATAATATTTTTAATTTTAAAAATTTTAAATTTTACAATTTTCATCTATGCTGTTAAAGATAACCTCTAAATAATCATATAATACACGAAATCATCGAACCTTCTGTGTTATTTCATATCGATCTCACTGTAAAAGTCAAAATTAGAAAAATTATTAAATGATAAAATAAGTATATTGGATAAACAAATAACTTATTTTAAGAAGCAAAAAAATACATTATACATAACCCCTTTAAAAACGTTGCTGTAAATATTAAAAAAATAGTAAACATATTTATTAATTTCGTATAATTTCCTGTATCATATATAAAAATGGAAAACATAGTGTGGAAAGGTGTCATTTATCTAAAAATATGTTAATATTGTTTTGTAATTAAGGGTGACAGCGAAAATTAAACAAACAAAACAAAAACTATGAATAATATCCTTAAGCCTATGCTTATCCATTCCTATAAAACGTGGCAGAGAAGAACATTAAGAAGTTAACCTGCGGAAGCAAAGTTGCTTGAGCTCTTTCCAACTACCCTTCTCCATGGAAACCTTAAGCTCCAAGTTCTTCTTCTTTTCGACTCTCTGTCTTCTCTGCGCATTTACCAACGCCGCAGATATTCGCTATTGCGGTTAATCCCTTAACTCTTTCTCCTGTTTTTTTCTCTCCCTAACATATGATCTTATCAAGTTTAATTTTTTCTTTTTGGGTAAAAGGTTTCAAATTTTAGTTCCAGAAGCATTTATAGGCCAATTCCTGGTGCTGCGGAAAATTATGGGAATAAGGTTTGGTACTGGAACTGTGTTGCAGAAACCCCCAAAATTTCGGTGGCGGGTTTTTTCAAACCCCGGATCTATATTCTTTAAATGAATATTGTTTCCTTGATTTGGGGTTTGAAAGTTTTAAACTTTCCCTCGAAAATGATTTTATCAAACAATTGGGTTTCTGTATACGGTTTTTTATTTATTCGTTCGTGCGTAAATATTTCGTCTTTATCTGTTTCTTGGCACTGGCTTTTGTTCAGTTGGGGAGATTTTTTATTTGTATAATAATCTGAGTATAACTGAATAATGAGTTTTGCTGAGGTGATTTAACGTATTGGCTACTGCTTGGAAATTGTCTTTTAGTTTCTAAGGATTTTTTTCTCTTTGATTAGTCTTATTATTTAATTATTTATTGATGTTTTGTTGCACTATATTACTTCTTTTTTTTATCGTTATTGAATAAACTATTGCTATCTCAGATAAGAAAGCCGACTACGATGTTGAGGTCAGCGGGGTTGAGATATCTCCTGATCCCATTGCACGAGGTCAGCCTGCTACATTCAGCATTGCTGCAACTACAGGTACTCTGTGATTTAACATGTTTGTTATGATACTGTGTTTCATTTCATTTTTATCATATTTTAATTTCTGTTATTGTATCCATTCCATGCAAATGGTGTTGTTTGTTGAATGTTTGCTATTATACTTATTTTCATTTGTTTATTCTGTTCTCACTACACGGCTCTTGTTACAAGGCCAGATAGCTGAATGAAACTGCTGTTGTTGATTTTTTGTATGCATGTATTCTGAATGTAGAAAGTAAGTTTATTTGTGGATTTGAAGGGAATTGGTAGCACTGCGTATCTGTTTGTATATGTAGCATAGTGATACTATTCAGGTAGAGATGGATGAGATTTTGGTGGAATAATTTGTCTATTTTCTCTGAATCAAGCATTTCATGATTCAGGTAAAGCATTGTCAGGAGGGAAGCTAGTGATTGATGTGTCGTATTTCGGATGGCACATACATAGTGAGACTCATGACCTTTGTGGAGAAACCACTTGCCCTGTTTCCATTGGTGATTTCGTCATTGCTCATTCACAAGTTTTACCTGGATTCACTCCACCTGTGAGTCAATGTTCTCTTCATTCATTGTTCATGTGTGTGTGGTTAGGTGGAAGAGGAAATCTTTCTATTTATCTATCTGTTTAATGTCTCATTTCCTGATCTGGGTTTCTCATATAATCATTGGAATTTGGAAAGAAATCCTTGTACTCATGTTATGGGATGTATATGTATTATACAATGAGGTCCCATTTCTTGTTCAATGCTAATTTATGATGTTGTATTTGCAGGGTTCATACACTCTGAAGATGAAGATGTTCGATGGAAAAAAGCATGAGTTAACTTGCATCACATTTGGTTTTGATATTGGGTTTGGTTCCTCTGTTGCAGATATCTAATTCACGTTGGTTGTTTAAGTTTATGATCAAGAACAAATCTATATAATTTGTACAAACTGCAGAGTATCATTGTATTATCAGATCCTTTTCTATAATCCAGCATGCTTGGAAAGTAAAATGTGTTGAAGTTCTTTCAGGATTCGAAAACACAAAACAAAACTTCCTTACATGTGTGTCTGTCTTATTGATGAACATTATGTAATGTTATTTACTTGTATATCCACAAAGAGAGGCTAAATTATACTATTGGTTTATATCTTTTAGCAAAGTCAATTTGGTCTTTTATGTTTAATTTTTTTTTTGAGGAATATGATTTATTTCTTTCTTTGGTTTTTCTTTTTTTAGAAGTCATTATTTGTTGCTGAAGAGAAGTTGAGTGTGGTGGGAAATAGAACAGATAAACCATATTAAGCCACTTTAGAAACCTAAAGGACAAAATTGGATTTCTCTTTTGAAATATAAGAAACCAAACTAAATGAAATAAGAAAGATACAGGCCCAATTAAATAATTTGTGTGTATATCAAATTACACCAGTCCAACTTTTATAAAAATAAGTTCCATTTATTCATAAAGGTTGAATTAGAATTTTGTTAAAATTTTAAAA